GGGTGTGATGCTCTATGTACAAACATTGAACTTGCTAAGCTTGTTTGGGCACCACAAGTCTTAACTAAAAGACTTGCAAACTTAAGGAAATTATGCGATTTTCTATAATTTGGGTTAAGGAATCTTGCATTTGGAATATAGATGGATAGATAGATAGTTATGGTGTGTTCATGACCATGTACAGTTGTGGGTTGCGCACCAATCCATTATCTGCAGACATGAGGTCAATCATCAACTCAAGCCCACTTTCAGCACATAAGAAAGTTCATCCAATACCTTCATATCTTATTCTTTTTTTCGTATAAGAGTACCTATTTTATTTAGAACACTAACGGAAATATTGGTTCTTTCTTTGGATGTTAATATATTTGTTGAGAGAACAAGCATCACAAAGAAAAAAAAGGTATCCAATATTCCAAAAACAAAAGAACAAAAAATAGATAGAACTCTCCAGCTCAATGGCACAAAGGCCTATGTAAGGGTTTCCAAATTGGCTTATTTATGACCTACCAACAAACCCTTCCAAAACACATGAAAAATAGTCAAATAGATAATTACTGATGTTACAAAGTCGAAAATTTATGAAGAATTCAGCCACTAATCTCCCATAACACTCTATCTTAACTATCAACATAACATTTAGAGATCCACAACACCAACTATAGGATTATCTGAATTCCTACGTTGGCCAGAGCCAAGGGCCTCACCAACATAACATGGTCGTGAAACTCGCTTGATCAAGATCCATATTTATACTCACATTTTAAATAACTTTTTCATTAATTCCCTCGTGAATGCATCTCTTTTGTACACATCCAGTTTCCGAAGTTTGCTGGTGTCACACCATGACAAAACCTCCAAGTCCAAATAGCATTAGTTAAGAGAGGTATGTACACAAAGGTCTATAAGCAAAAAGCCTAAAATCCTTTTTTTTAAATGATCAAAATAAGTATTGATTCTCTTGAAGATCTTCATGAGATATGTAGATGCTCGTTGATGGCATTTCTAGAATGGGGCTGACTAGTTGTCTTATTACAATCTTCGATGTGACTTCACTCCTAAAAGACCATGCCATAGGCAGGTTACAATTGATGTCAGGCTTTAGCACATGCCAAAGGTGCAAGGTACAAATGATTAAGTAAAGAGAGTTTTGCAGAGATGAACTTGTGGAATTAGTGGGAATCCATCTTGTACAGGAAGGGGCTTCGATGTTATTCATACATCCTCTCCCACTGAGGAGGGGCCTTCCTTATCTCTTGGGATTTTGGTCAAGAAGAAAATCCAAGGAATCAAGTACGGCCCTTGTGCAAGATGGAGAATGGTGTCACTTTGTCAAACTATTTGCACCCAATATGAGATGCAGTATGCTGAGCCCCTATTAAGATTTGTGAAATTGAACTTCGTCAACAGGTCTCTTGGGGATACAAGACCTTCAATTGACTAGAAGGCCTCTTAAGGCCAAGTAGGGGTCTTTTCACTTGAATGCGATGGGGCAGATCAAATGAGCTTGTAGTTCCTAGGAGGCCAGGCACCTGAATTTTGAACATTGTCACCAACAAAGCCTTGATTCTTCGGCTAGAGAAGAATGCCCCCAATAAGACCTGTGAAAGTGAACTTTGTCAACAAGTCTCATGGGGATACAGGATGTTCACTTGACTGGAAGGTATATTAAGGTCAAATAGGTGCCTTTTCACCGGAATGTGATCAGGCAGATCAAATGAGCTTGTAGTCCCTAGGTGGCCAGGCGCTTGAATTTTGAACATTGTTGAAAGGGTGGTTAGAAAGGAGCAAACCATCACGAATATCAGTCTAGTACCTTAATATTTGTTATGAACATATTTTAAGTGTATTTCCAACTAATTGCATAACACCTCTTAATAATTATTTTTTATCCGCTATAGAACACTCACTTGATATATACACCTCTGCACTAAATCGAGTTCATAATATCTATAGTGTAAAAAGAAACATCTGAAAGGGATGGTTCCAAATGTGAAGCATGACTTCAAGAATTTACAAATGGAATATACCATCTTGATAATGATGTTTCAAAGTCAACATGACGAAAATTGAAACTGGAACTGCCAAAACTCTAGTATAGCAGTATCCTATAAAATAAGGAAACAATCAAGCACAAATTTATATATATATATATGGGCAATGATTTCATGCAACCGTTGTATAGTAATATGACGCAATAACCTTAAAAAACCATCTTATGGCCATTTTGTTTGATCCAAATTTTGAAATATACACTCTTTTAATTCTAATGAACAATAAAAAAAAATGAAAAAATTGAAAACACAACCTAGAAAGTATTTTTTTAGCCCAATTAACATAGGCCGTTCATTTTAGTGAGATGCTTAGATCTAGGTAGAAGGATTTTTTCATTTCCAATTTTTTTGTATGGCTTTATTATCATTAAATGAACAATGTTAAAAAAGGAAAAAATGATTTTGAGTTTATAAAGGCGAAGATCTTGAATTTCACAAAATGAATGGTCTAGATTTGTTTTTGGAGGGGACTCATTTTGACCATATCTAAGGTTTCAAATTGAAATTTTTTTTTATTTGGGATTGATTATTGAGATGAAGAGAGAGTGTGTGCAAAATTTGGGGTCATACAAATACCACAAACATGATTTTCTAGAAGTGTCGTTGCATTATACTATAATACAACCATTGCACTGGATCATTAACATGAAATTTTGAATTAACAGGATCCGACCAAAAGATAAAAGAGAATATTTGGTTTTTCATGAATTTTACAATTGAATTAAAATTTACCAAATTTGAATCCGCGCCTGAAAAATAACATGGAAACAATAATAAAAAAAAAAGACACTTTGGGATAAAGTATTTTCATAATTTGCAGAAATATGACTAAAATCTAAAATTTTATTTTATTTAGAACCCTTACCTGGCAAATGAGACAGTAACAATATTAGAACCTATTTTAGAAGCAGGAACATCTCAAACAGAACTTTTTATTGTTCTTTATCCCCCAATCAATGCCGTGACTGCAGTCAAATTTGATTCGGGGCACGCTCCAAATTGCACAGGGGAGAAAAGAAATTCAGCTATTAAGTCAATTGGGAAAATCCAATGTTTGGAAATATTTAATTTTTTTTGTAAATTTGAACACATCAAATACTGTAATCAATTACATTTATCACTCAAACTCATGATTACGCTTGACCTAGAATAAGTTAAAAACCAAATACCATCATTCACAATTTTACTTTGCATGCAAACCACCAAAGTTGGCATTCATTTGAAAAGAAAAACCACAACACCTAAAAGGTGAGAATTCAGGAATTTTTTTTTTTTTGGTCCACCCCCCACCCCCTTTTTTTTTGAAATGTATGGGGATTTCATATTTAAGAATTTGTCCAAACAAACAAAAATTTGGGGACCTGGGGATTTTTTTGGGGAAAACTTAAAGGTTTTCACCTCAGGCAACTTTTCACACAATATGTTTTCATGCAGATTCACTAAAAACCTTCATTGAGTATCCAGCATACTTATTATCCATGGAAAAGCAACTATGGATTGGATGGAAATTTGGTATGGTGGAAATGAATTAATATAACTCATTACAACGGGCTTCCCACAAGTGGAGATCAGGATATTGGATTAGATTTCGGCATTTGAACTTATTAGTTATGCCAATCCAAGAGTCATCAGGAATGAAACACCACCCATTGAGGTACTATGCTTCTGAAACTGGTGGGGACAATGCTTTTTCATGACAACACCAGAAACTCAATCGTCGGTTTAATGAACATGGAAAATAACATATGATACTTTTAGCTGAAAATTTTATGGTATTGCTGTATTGACGAATACATAAAGATCAATTTCATAACATAAACAATACTTTTCTTTTTTCACATCCAACTTGAAATTTAATATTTAGTCTCGACTTATTTTTTACAAAAGTTTATAGAGAAAGTACCATATAAAACTCATTGATTCTCAATGCACATAATATTGAACCTAGATGTGCAAAATTCAATTGTGAATAGCATGCATAAAAATTAAGTAAATAAAAGGAAAAAAAGAAAATCGAAAGACAATAGGGCTTCAACAGCGACTACATGCGAAACTGGAAAAACAAAAAAGAAAAATCTAAAAAAATATTCTGAATGAACAGAGTAAAGGAGCCCCAGGTTTAACGAATTCATGGCATAAAATCCCATAATGGAAAATTAAACGAGCATAAATGAAACTCCCAAGAGGATTTTTTTGTTAGTAGTTAACTACCCATTGCATAGAATATGAAATATCCATGCAGAGAGAAATAACACAATATGTATTGTATGCATCCATTTAATGTGAAGAGAAGCATCCATGAGATAATGAAAATGTATGTTGAAATTTTTTTACAGCAAGCATATCAAGGAGTACAAAAGAATGAATCAAACGAGGTTGGCAAAGAAAATAAATCTCTAGAACATCCATCACCAAATCCAAAACCCCAACGATAAGCCTCATTTCCCTAACTATAAATCCCAACTTAACAGTCCCAAACCAGTGAGAAACCCCAAGAGTCAACATAAAACTCTAGAACATCCATAGAATCGCAAATAAACCTAGGTTTCAACCTGGAAACAACCAAAACAAACAAATGGGTGTGAAATACGTGAGGATAGAGAGCTTGAAAGAACCTGAAGAAGACTGGTAGCATAGCTTATGTAGTTTCTGATGAGGCCCTGAGTCGTGATCCTGATCTCGTTCTCGTTAATGGTTGATTCAGGCCTTGGTTTCTCAACTCTCTGATACCTATCCATGGTCACTCTGGAGAAACCCTAAAACCCTGATAAAACCCTAACAAACCAGACTAACAGAGAAACCAGTTCGGAGTGAAGCGGAGGGATTTAATAAGAGGAAGCGCAGCGATACCGACATTTTTTCCGCAAACACAAAAATATATTTGGGCAAGATACCCTTGTTCTTTTATTATAATACCGTAAATTTCCCTAGATATCGAGATAATAATGATAGGACATAAAAATGGAATGCAGATTTTTGTTAGTCAAATTTAAGCCATAATATGTGGATTAGGGAAATATGTTTACTCCATGAACATAAAAAGT